TGCTGCTTGGCCTGCTGTGTTCATCCAGCCCTGCACCTTGTTGTCTCTGTATAAAGGAAAAACTCTCTTTGGGCAGAAAATAATTTCTCAAGATAGATCAATGTTGGATCCAGCCTAATACACTGGTAACTCAAGACAACTTTGGGCAGGAGCAAGTTTGTCAGTGTGATCCATGCTGGCATCAGTCTAGCGCATTGACTAGTTCAAGAAGATTTAAGAAAACAGGGGAAATTGGCACTTATAGACGTGGAGATCAGCATCGCTATCTTTTTGCCATCTGTTTGTCTGCCTAGGCCCAATAAACCATTCTCACTTGTTGCAGGCTCTATATGTCTTTTCTAGCTATTTTGATTAGAGTCACAGAGTTGTTGAGTTTTTACAGTGCAGAAAGAGGCCTTTGGGCCTGCTACACATCATATCAAAATTGTTGTTTCTGAACAAAACTACTTGATGAATTCTCAACTATCAATTCAGGACTTCTGAACAAAAAAAGAAATCTTACACTGAAACCAGAAAGTCCATCCCCACCACAAACTGAGGCCCTTATGTTGAAAATTAATACCCACTCATGGGGCTCAAGCCATCACCACTAATATTCAAACACGTGGACAGCCAAAAAGCAAATGCTGTTGCGTCCAGAGACCCTTCGTCGCTCAAATTAAGTTTTACCTTTCAAAAACTGAGTTTGCTTCTTTGCTTCTTCCATAGCTACTGCTGCCTTTCCCTGTTGGTGATCACACATTTCAACCACCGACTGACTGAGTTTATGTCTTCTCAGTACCTTAATACCGCTCACCTGCTTGATTTTGTTTTAAATTTTGTTCTGGACCTTCAGGATTTCTTCTCCTTCTGGTGGGGGACAGATCCATTCTGCAGCTACCATGTGATATTTTCCCAGTTGACCATCTCTACAAGCATGTAGTGCTGGGTGAGGGTTAGTTGAAGAAAGTTACTGCATCAATTTTACTTTGTCTTGGACCTATCAAATGATTGGTGTTCAAGGATGCACCACTAAGAAGAGCCACTGTCCTAGTAAACAGGAAAGTATATTGCGTGATAGCAGTTTGATCAGTGATAATTTCAAGAGACTTACAGAGCTGGTACAAATACACCATCCAAAAACACAAGGTTCTCCCCACAGACTGTCTGAGATCAGAAGAATGGATGGAGCCACGTAACATAAATATTAACCCTTTCAAAACCATTACCTTATATAAATGTCAGAAATTTAGATAAGTGTCAAAATGAATTGTGAAGTTATTTGCAGGCTGGTTCAACCTAAGACCTGGTCCAATGTGGAACCAACAGCAATGATCTAGAGTTGAAGTGGGGCAGTGAAGATAATGGATTCATTCTTTAATATGCTGAACTGGAAAAAATTGCCTAAAAATTGGCTTCGTCAAAAGCCATCCCTTTAGGCTACAACTTTAAAAAGCTGAGAATGACTAAAGGTTGGCAACAGCAGGCTGGGGGTGGTGTAAGAAAGTATTTGGCACTGTGTGTTGACCGTCCACTTGCTGTAATGAATGCTAGCGTGATTTTTTTTTGTACTTCGGAGCATTTCAGAAGAATCCAAAGAAGGCAGGAATTCTTTGCAGCTGAGACGCAATGGCATTCTCGGTTCCAAAGAGACATCTTCAAGTTAACAATTGTACAAAACTGACTCCCAAAGTAGTTACTTTTATTACTTTCTAGACACCATCTTTCACTTTCAGCCCCTAGGCTGTCTTCACGGAGTATCACAATCACTCTTTACCCCAGCTAACAGTTGGCAGTGAGCCTGTTATTATACTAGAGATAGTAGGAACTGCAGATGTTGGAGAATCCCACCTACACTCACCTTTACTGGCTCCATCCCCGCCTCTTCAACCTGTCTGTTTCCTCTCCACCTATCTTCTCCTCTATCCATCTTCTTTCCGCCTCCCCCTCTCTCCCTATTTATTTCAGAACGCCCTTCCCCTCCCCCATTTCTGATGACGGGTCTAGGCCCGAAACGTCAGCCTTTTTGCTCCTATGATGCTGCTTGGCCTGTTGTGTTCATCCAGCTCTGCACCTTGTTGTCTCTGTTATTATACTAAATGGCTGACTCATGCTGTTAAGGCAAAACTTTTGCCCCCTCTGCCCCATTCTCTATCAGATGCCCTGTTTTATAGAATGAGCTGCCAGTCAATAGATGGCTGACAGCTCAGGGTTAGTGGTTACTGCAGAAGCTACAACCGGCCCTACCACAACAAAGACCATGACCTGGGTCAAGGGCCTCAACATGTGGCAAGGGGGTTTAGATGGGGGCAAATTAAAGGGGGTTGACCTGGCAGGAAGTGTTGGTGACTCCAGAGAGCCCAGAGAACTGGCAACTGAAGACACTTTGCCTTTCCCAACGCCAACACACACAAATGGGCTCCACTCCAATGGTATTTGGCACATATGACCATCAAAATGCCCAAGAGCAGGTTGGTCATTATCCTCCTAAAATTTCAGACAACTCAGAGAATCCAACTCTTCAAGTTAATGATAATATGTTATTTGTTTTTGTTATCTCTTATTACCATTCTTTATCATATATCACATATGTCGTTGAGTTATTAGATTTCAAAATGCCTCCAAATATCTGATTGGGTACTTTAATTAAATGCCTGTCATATGTTAAGATGCTTGTCATGGAAACAGTTGCCTTGGAGATTCAGCATGAAGTGATGTAATTGACCAGGAGTAATTTACTGGTAATTGTAAAAAATCTAAAGGTCCACCAGGTCATTAATGTTTCCCTCAATGTATAGTAATCTGTTCCAAACTGATTAAATTAAATAGATTTTGGAAACCTGGAATAAACTTTAAAAACGCTGGAAATATTCCAAGACCTGGCAACATCAATGGAGAGAGTAACTGAGCAAATAAAGGTTGTTTTAACAACCAAACATACACTGGTAAATGTTTTGCTGATTTATTTTTACATTAATTGAATTTAAATTCCTCCAGCTGCCATGATGGGATTTTCAAGCACCCATCCCCCCAACCTGCACCCTCCCACGTGTAAATTCATGTCTTCACATTAATCAACAAGTTACTGAAAAGGTGAGTCTTCATTTGGCTTACAAGATTGGGCAACACAGGGAAATGATGAAGTAACAATAAAAGAAAGTTCAATAACATAACATTTAACAAACCCTCCTATGCACAGCCTTTTTGCTTAATGATCATCTTTGACTCTTCCTTTGCAGAGGTACGCTGCTCAGATCCCTGCTGTAACTGGAGCCCATGAGACTCATGCCAATGACCATGACACATAGATACCCATTTGCTGTTGTTCCCCTCCTGACACAGTGCTACATTTTTCCTACCTCTATCTGGAGAAGTAGCTTCGTTCAGGTCAATAAAATGTTGTAAGGCTATGATTGAGCTACCTCCCACCCTATTTAAGGCAATAAACATGCTGAGATAGAAAGTTTGAGATAGAAAGTTTGCAGAACTGTGGCTGGGGCCTACATGGATTAATTTGATAGCTGTGATTGAAATTTCTTGGAGGTAACCACCGTCTCCATAGCAGACATTCTCTGAACAGCCTGAAACATCAAATATTTCAGCTGGATGCTTTCATTTTCCTTTCTATTGTGGATAGTATGTACGGTAAGTCTGCAAGTACCTTTTTTTTTGAATTAACATGTTCTCACTAGTTATGACACACATCTGTGACAGATAAGACTTGAACCCAGATCTCGTTAATGTGATTTGATTTATTATTGTCACATGTATAGAGATACAGTGAAAAGTATTGTTTTACATGCTAACCAGACAAATCACATCTTACATAAATACATAATGGTAATAGAACAGGATGCAGAATATAGTTTTACAGCTACAGAGAAGGTGCAGAGAAAGATCAACTCTAGTATATGAGAGGTCCATTCATAAGTCTGATAACAATGGGGGAGAGCTGTTCTTGAACCTGTTAGTATGTGTTTTCAAACTTTTGTATCTTCTGCCTGATGGAAGAGTGTGGAAGAGTATATAACTAGGCCCAGATGCAGTTATACACTACCACTGCAACACAAGACCCTCTATATATTATTAATGGTGTTTAGCGATTCTTCTTTTCATCAATATCCTCAGGGTAGAACATTTGTGTCCAGCTTTAAGCTTGGATAGGATTAAAACTCCCCAAATCCTTCAAATGTGAATTCTCTCTCACTGCCCTTGAACAGCTGTGTTTGCTCATATTCTTTTGTGACCTATAAGTTACTAGTTAAATATTATCTGAGGTGGAGCCTGGTAGTAAGTCTGTAAAACTGCATCAAAGAATCATATTCATCAAGAAAATTAATAAATTGCTGATAAAGTCCCAAATGAAAAGAGGAACAGTTTTGAATTGGTTCAGGAAATGTAACAAAGTTGCTGCATGCAATTCCTCACTGATATTGAGACGTGATAACTGTGTCTTGTATGAGGTGTAGGTGAGAGATGTATAATTTTGTTACCAGTCAACTGCCAACTTTCAATCTCTGCACCTCCAAAGAACATAGATGTAGAAATGCCATCAATCTTCATGGTGTCGTATTCTAGGGCTGTGAACTACACACAAAGTGGCTGGTAATTGATGTCCTCCCCTACTCCCTTGTCAGTTGCACTTGATTCCCTCGCAACACAGGCAAGAGCAGACCTTTGAGTAACTGTTAGAGAACGTGTTCACCCGATGGATGCAGCCCTTTCATATGAGATCAGGCAGATTCATTATGTAGCACAATGAATTATGTTTCAGGTCAATGTTTCAGGTCAATGTCATCAGAACTAATTTAGTGGGTCAAAATCGATTCATTGTGAATTTGAATCTGTGAAGTGGATACAAATAGAATGAGTTGGGTATTCCCAATGGTAAAATACCCAATAGCTAATAATTGATCAAAATAACAGATGCAGATAAATCTCAATATATATTTGGTTATCAAATCCACTCATTATTTACTTCCATTTTTAAATACAATTGAAAACATGTGTATCATGAAGATCCTGCTGAATCTAATATAGCAGCTTTTGTGACAATCTGTTTATTTTGCTCATAACAAGGCTCTAAGTACAATTAAAGACAAACCACATCCCAATTTTAATCCAGGGCAGGTTTTGGGTGGGTGGCAAATTCCCATCATGTTTCCAGCATGATTCCCAAGCAGTTCTAAGATTTGTGGGGTGCCCTTCCTGACTGTGTGCCTAGTAAGTGCAATTTCCAGCAAGTCATGAGGTCTAATTCAAGTGAGAAGCCTCCTGTTGCAGTGAAGAGGCATTCTCTGTCTAAATTATTCCATCGATAATTCTTGAAGATTTTTTGAGGACACAAATGAATTAAAGGTTGTTCCTCACTTATCTGATTCTTTCATCCTCCACCTCCTCAACTCAGGAAGCTGAGGACTCGAGTGGCAGCAGTGTACATTTCCTCACCTGGACCCACAAGGGAATTTCCATGACCAAGAGGTAACAGGCCTGGAAGTAGATGGCTGACATGATTAGCTTTATGCAGGATCAAGATTTAGTGACCTTATCAGATCAACAACAGCATTCAGAATACTTCAGCTCACTCACCAGCACTTCACAACTTTCCCTTAATACTCACACATGCAAACACAATACTTCTTATTTTACACTTTCCTAGTTTGTTGAACAAAACCACTCAGCCAAAACTCAGCCCTTAATTATGTAACATTATTCATAAATATATTTCTACTATTTGACCCACGATCTAATGGATCCAAATAT